TTTATTAGAAGAATTAAATGCAGAAAATACAAAAAAAAAATCATATCGTTTTTTTTTTTTTGCTTTACAATCATTTATTCTTCTAATAAATTACAATCATCTTGATTAAATAATTTCTCGAAAATTTTCAATTCATAAAATTTTCAAAAATGAAATTTGTTCAAAAGGAATTTGGATGATTGTTCGGAATAAAAATTACCGGTAAATACATTTTGAAAATACGATAAACAAGAAAAATGATTCAAATATGAACAATGCTTTTTTTTAATGGTAAGTTAGAAATGCTTTTGATTTCTTGAATATTTCTAAAATTCGAGTTATCTTCCCAAGCATTTCATATTTCTGTTATTTAATTAAAGTTTAAAAATTTATTGTTCATCTTATTATTCTTGTTTTTTCTGTTAGCATTAAAAATATGGTGAGCTAAATAGTGAACAATTGGAAAATTTTAACAACTTTTCAAGAAAAAAAGAGAAAAAGTTAAAAATAACGACAGCAACTCAATTTTTAGAATGTGAAAGCTATCGGTGTAAAAATATTTGGAATGCTAAACATATTTGGATTGTATAAGGCGAGAAATTTTGCTTTCTAATAAAATTGGTGCAATGGAAAAAAAGACAAATGGCTTCAAGTTAGCTTCACGCATATTACATTCGATAAAATGGTGAAATAAAATAAATATGCAATTAATCAATCTAACATTTACTCGCTCAATTCACTTAAATTATAAATAATTTCAATCAGTTACAATGTAAAGCTTTTAAGTTAATTAATTAGGCTCCAGTTTTTTTTTTGTTCACAAGTATACTTTTAGCTAATTTACATTTGATTTGTTTCAAAAGATTACTGGTAAAATAAAGGAGGAAAATTTTGATAGGAAAATAAATGATTGGATCATGAAGCTAAATTTTTGACAACTTTATTCGCAAATTAATCAATAAAGTTTTTGGGGATGAGTCTAAAATTTTGGTTGTTGATTACTTTTGGATGTTAGCCAGACTTTTAATAATGTGAAATGCAGAGGCTTTCATTAGTCAACAAATAGTTGTGCTCTTTTTTAAGCCTAATTCAAAGTTGCGGAACACCACTCAGGTATTAAGCCAAATAGGTTGTAAAAATGGTCATAAACATTCGTTTCTTGATGAAATCGAAATTCCTTTCCATGCTCTCATTCTCCTTATATAAATTAAACATTTAGATGAGCTGTCACCATCTTTGAAATAATAACAAATAAAAAAAGGGAAAAAAAAATTAATTCACACTTTCTATACGGTGAATGAATTTTTCTAAGCTCCTCTTCTCTCTCAAATAATTAAGTTCAGGAATAAAAAAAATGATAGAGAAAAATATTATTATCAAAGAAATTTGAATATTTAAAAGGTTTTCTTTCCCACCTCATCCCACGCATTTTCATCTTCTTAAATATTATCGGAAATGAAAGCATTTCCGATAACATTTAAAATTATGAAAATAGCTATTGGAAGACATACTGGTAAACAAGGCCTGAAAAAAAGATAAACAATAAAATAATAGGAGTGAGCGAAAAAAAATATAATCCATTTCTAATGAGAAAGAGAGAGAGAGAGGAAGAGAGAAGAAAGAGGGAAGTCGGATCGGATAAGTAAGTAACTAGCACTTTTTAGAATTCATGCCGATTGATAATATTGCTTGATGCACGAGCGAATAACACTATCCAGTTAATTAGTGATGTTTAGGCTATATTAACAAAATATTAAGTTATGTGTAATTACACATATAAATTAACATCATTAGAGGACTTTTGTTAGGCCTGTAATTGTCCATATCATTACTCCACTATTAAATTGCTATCCTTTCCTCTCTCCCATTTGAAGGAAACAAATGAACAATTATAATGATAATCTATATATATTTTTTTGATTTTTTAATGAATTTTTGAAGACGAATTTACTTCTCATTATCAATTAGAGTTACAAAATTAGCAAAGAAATGAGAAGAAAAAAATGGGTCAGAAAGAGAGAACAGGGAGAAGGAAAGAGGAAGGATCATTTCAAATTATTAATTTAGGATAAGTGCGGAGACAGTTGTTTTATCCTTCACTAAAGTCTAGTAAAATAAACATTTTTTTTCTTTTTAATTAAAAATATTAAGGCAAGATATTAGTGAATGACTCGATTTGTTGTAATAATAATTAAATCCTCATTGATCTATTATGCAATTTGATGGCTAATATTTCATGAAATAGCAAAAAAGGTTTTGAGAAATAAGAAAAAAGGGAAATGAATAGAATTATAAGACATATTAGCATAATTTCATTCGAAAAAAAAAACAAATAAGTAAAAATTTCATTTATGGTAAGCTATATCGAGCAGAAATAAACAAATGAAAACAAATTGAAAGAAGTTTCAGTATTATGTAGCATTACTTGAAGCAGACGATAAGCATATTCACAAAATCAGATATCATTTCAGCCACGAATCGAAAATTCTTGCCCTTCTATTAGCCCAGCTGTCATTTCTCCTTCCTATCTCTAATAGCTTCTTTTTTTTCAACTTACTGAATTGTAGCAATTTTGTTGTGATAATGGTAGAGGGAAAGTGTTATCAATTAGTATATATATAATTATTTTCAGGATGTGATGCACCATCGTTAACGTCGATATTCCTGTTTACAACATAGCTTAATGAAGAACTGTAAGGGTTTAATATTTTACAAATATTTGCAAAATTAGCCGTCTAAATTAACTATATTAATTTAAATTAGAAATTGTCTGGAAGTGGAAGATTGAAGTTTGTTAAATTTATCAAGAAGATTTAAATTAATAATGGTAAGGAAGTACGATGTAGTAGTAGTAACAGTAATATCGGATGATTTATGCCTCAAATAAATTATCTCGTTAAATCTTAAAGAATAACTAGAATAATTAAATAGGAAAGAAAATCAAATCTTCAGATGATATCAAAATGAGTCCACTCTGGTTGGTTCCGGTCTTCCAATTAATATGCTTCAAATAGGTCGGGAATATTGGGAACATCGAGCATTGATGCATTCTTCAGTGAACCTTAATAAGTTCCGTCGTAGATTTCATATTAAAAATAGGTAAAATTTATGCTAAAACTATAAGGAAGACAAAAAAAGCACACATAATTGAAACCTATCTTTATTACTGCTAATCACGAATAATTAATTACTCGTAACAAATATTAACAGGGCGATTTCAAATAATATCAAATATGCTTTAGCACTCGATGTTAGTTAAAAAATTTTTACACTAGGAAAATATCATTCCATATTTCATATATTTTAATCTCTCATATTTTTAAATCTCCCTAATCTCATAATTTGCGCGAAGAAGATCATGCTCAGTTTCTGATTTTAAACCAAAACACTTAGAATCTACTTCTTTCTTTCTCTATCTCTCTCTCTCTCTCTCTTTCTCTCTCTCTCATTCGTCAACTTCTTACATTTTCTGTCTTAAATTTATCCGCTAAAGATGCAATTTTAAAATGTGCTTATTTTCTCTCTACAAAGATTTATACATCATCAAATAATCCATTCTTCTGAATAAAGAATTTTCCCATGAATGTGTATAACATTTTCCGTCAACTTATCTTTCTCTCATTTTTGCTCCTTTTTCTTACTACATTCCATTGAGCTATTATGTGAACATGAAATATTTAGCAAATAAATTTCAGCCAAGAAGAATATGAGAGCCAAGAAGATATTTTTTTTTAAAAAGAATAAATTTCAGCTTAAATATCATCTACAAAACTATCGGATAAAATTTTGTACCTGTACAGTGCTAATTCACAACATCGTGAACAATTTATGCACAACCTGACATTAGTGATGATTATTTGTTCGATGGAAGTAAGATCAATCTTAGTTAAGTTAGATTAAAAATAAACAATTTCAAAAACTGTTAATTAATCCGATTGAAAAGAGAATTATTACGATTAGCATTACTGATTCTAATGTTATACATAATTTATATATAAAATTTTATATATAAGTTGAACTTATGACCTTTCAGGGTGAGTATTCCAATACCGTTAGCTTCAGGTAATTTTGGTGTTCGTTTGCCGATGAATGATGGAATAAGTTTGGATCCATTTTCGTTGAACTTATGACCATGACCTTGAACTTTTTGAACGGTCTCATTTCCAAACAAAAAATTATTTTCAATCTTTTCAACAAAAGCATTCACTATCACACATACATCGCTTATTGATAATGCAAATAAAGTTCCAATAAAGCAAAATGATTATTACAGTGATCACATAAGATAGGGTCAAAGGTCAACAAGTCAACAATTTTGGAGAAATGAAATAAGTGAGCTGTCAAAAGGATCGAATTAAGACGTCTTTCCTATTTTCTTCTGTTTTCCACTTTCAATAAGTCACATTTGTAAGGCGTTATAAGCGACAAGGTATCTCGGCAATATTACCTATCAGTCATTTCACTTTTAAAACGTCTGTTGATTATAAAACCATTTTCTAAATGGTTGTTATATATTACTTTGTAAACTTGAAAGTACACGTACGTCACATGAAAAATCACATTCACATTAACCATCACATGTGCGAGAAGATATCCCGAGAATGTCAGGTGATTGGATCCAATTGATGCATTTTTTCGTTCTTCTAAGTCGGTAAACTCTCAAAGCGATTATTTGTAGCGATGAGGAAGGATGATTGCTTGGAAGTGATAGTGCGGGGAAGGTTCGGGAGATGCTGAGAGGGTTTCGGAAAATGTCGTGCCAAGTGAGGGACCAGGGGAAGTCACCAGGAGTAAAAGGAGTAGGATCATCCTCAATGAAAGTGATTAGAGGGAGAAGGAATCAGAGAGTGATTGAAAATAGCTGTCATGGAAAGATTATTTGTAACGGAATAACCTAAAAAATTCAGTTGAGAATGAATTTTTGGGATTATAGTTCCGAATTATAATTCCATTTTTTTCTGTGTGTTTGGAATGAAATGAATTACATTTATAATTTTCGCATTTACAGATTAAATAACATAATGGCACTATCGAAGTGTAAAGATGACTCACTGGAAATGAAAATTAATTTGCAGCAAAATGTTATCGAGAAACTTGAAAGTAATCTATCAGATTCTCACGTAAGTTGTATTTTTTGCAAATTTTATAAATGGAGTAAATTTTTCGACAACATGCATTTATTTGACCATTTTCGTTGTAATTATTATCATTTGCTAGAGATGAGACATATTTTAACATGAAGTAAAATAGTTGTATAATTACAAGAAGACCGGTACATTGGATGCAGGATTTGGTATTGTTTATATGTTGATTTAGATAGGCGCTACTTCATCTGTGAAAGGTCAAGGAGATGTGAAAAAGCAGTCTAAATTGGGTATTGAAGTATCTAAAGATGAAAACTATTGCGAATGGTATGTCCAGGTTGGCTCCTTTTTTTCCGTATCTTATGTTAGTTGATTTTGATAAGCATTAGTCCTTATTTTGTATTTCAAAATAATTTAGTATTAGTCTCATGGCTTGGAATTTTTTTTTTGACGAGTGAGATTGTTCAGCAGAGGAATGAGGAAACCATAATGTTAGTGATCATCTATTGATGTTGATCGGAATATTCTTAATTATGTAATAACATTCAAAAATCAAATATCACTCAGATTAAAATATTGAAAATAATTTACTCCGATATTCCTGAAAAGTTGATCCAAATCATTTTTTTTAACATAAATAAAACGGAATCATTTTTTGGGAAAATGAGAATATTTTGATCTTTTTCTCATCAGTAATGATGAGGAATGGAATTGATGCTAGAGATTCAAAATACATCCGATAATATGAAAATGTTAATAACTGTTGTAATGTTGATGACACTGAAATGTGTAGGAAAAAATCGGTTTCCTAAAAAGTCGATCCCAATTTACATTCATATTTTCAGGTTATAACGAAAGCTGAAATGGTAGAATATTACGACATTTCTGGTTGTTATGTTTTGCGACCGTGGTCATATGCTATCTGGGAATTTATTCAGGAATGGTTCGACCAAGAAATTAAAAAATTAGGTGTCAAAAACTGCTATTTTCCATTGTTCGTTTCTCAAAGCGCTTTGGAGAGAGAGAAAATGCACATCAGCGATTTCGCTCCTGAGGTTATCATTTGAAAGTTATTTACTACAGTCCCGGCTTTTTCAATTATGAATATGTATTTTAACACATTACATTGTAGGTTGCGTGGGTAACACGAGCGGGGCAATCGGACTTATCCGAACCAATTGCAATTCGTCCTACTAGTGAAACAGTAATGTATCCCAGCTATGCGAAATGGGTCCAGTCTCATCGAGATCTTCCAATTAAGCTGAATCAGTGGTGCAATGTTGTCGTAAGTTTCATAGTCAAACATCGAAGAGACAAAAAATTGTTTATTGTTTTTAAAATTATTTTTAAGTTAATTCAGTTTCTTGTTTGTACGTTTCATATATATCTGATTGTCATTTTATTAATTCATGAAAAAGGGTATTGATTGTTTTAGCGCTGGGAATTCAAGCATCCAACACCATTCTTAAGAACTCGTGAATTTTTATGGCAGGAAGGTCATACTGCATTTCAAACTAAAGTTGAAGCAGAAAATGAGGTGTTTCAAATCCTTGATTTATACGCTCAAGTATACACCGATTTACTGGCTATACCAGTTATTAAAGGACGGAAAACTGAGAAGGAGAAGTTCGCTGGTGGAGAATTTACAACTACTGTTGAAGCGTATGTGCCTATAAATGGACGTGGGATACAGGTTATTAGCTTGTACTTTTATCCAATTTCATTATTTAATGTCCTGCGATAAATAACAGTTATTTTTCGTTGTCCGCTTTTTTTGAATTGATTAGAATAAAAGTAATCAAGAAATAAAGAGTGATCTAGGAACTGCTTACTTCATCTATCTTTTTATATGTTTTGTGAAACCTGTTTACGTTTTTATTTTAGGGTGCTACTTCGCATCACTTGGGACAAAATTTCTCGAAAATGTTTAATATATCGTTTGAAGACCCAAATTGTGGTGGAAGAGTCTATGCATGGCAGAACAGCTGGGGTTTATCAACCAGAACAATTGGTGCTCTAGTGATGATACATGGTGATAATCATGGTCTTGTGCTTCCACCCAGAGTAGCTGCTATACAAGTATGTCTTACGAATTTAGGAATAAGCCTTAGATAGAAAGAAAATCTTTTGTTTTTGTAATTCATAGATTTATATCCCTACAGATGATTATCGTTCCGGTAGGAATTACTGCTCAAACAAAGGATGAACAAAAAACGGTTCTGATTGAAAAAGCAAAAGAAATCAATGATGTATTGGTGGATGAAAATATACGGGCTGAACTTGATATAAGGGATAATATATCGCCTGGATGGAAGTTCAATCATTGGGAATTGAAAGGTGTTCCTGTAAGAATCGAAATTGGTCCCAAGGACTTGGCCAACAGCCAGGTAGCTCGAAATATTATTTACTACTTCCTCTTTATTGCAACTTGCAGCTCGTTATATTATTTTTTTATTTAGGTAACTTGTGTTATTAGATATTCTGGCGAAAAAAGAACCATTCTCATCGATGATCTTGCTACAAAATGCAGAGATATGCTGGAGGAAATTCACTGTTCCATGTATAACAGGCAAGCTTTTTTTATGATGGAATAAAATATTTCTCAGTTCGATGGAATATTTATAGAATATTGGAAGCTCGCGAGTCGCATACGAAGATTGTATTGGAATGGAATGATTTCCGAAGCCTTTTAGATCAGAAGTTTATTCTGCTATCACCTTTCTGTGGTAGTATTGAGTGCGAAGATCAAATCAAGAAAGAAAGCATGAGAGAAGAGGAAAATGATCCTCGTGCTCCCGCAATGGGAGCAAAAACCCTCTGCATACCATTTGAACAGGTAATCTGCTTAATACTTGTAAGGAATTGAATTACAAGAACTGTATGAATACAATAAATTGGAAAGAGACCATGAGTGTTTTGAAATCCTATGAAACGTAGATCTGAAAACCAAAAAATGGTTTTATTTGTAACATTCACTTACGTCTTCAAAGAAAGTGCAAAATCGTTGTGGATAACTTGCTGTTTTCTTCCTGAAGTTCTATAATAAGCCTCATAAAATTATTTCAGCCTGATATTTCGCTTCCCAGTAATTGCATTAATAAGAATTGTTCAGAAAAACCCCGGTTCTTCGCACTGTTCGGTCGAAGTTATTAAGCAATTTCAGCGTTGCGTACGGACTTGAATATTCCAGATTACAGATTACATATGGTTGCTTTTATGGTTTATCTGTTGTAACTGATCTGCAGTCGATGTTCTATTATATTATTATTAATATGGTAACTGCAATTGACTTAACTTGACTTGATAACCGATCTGTAATTGGCTGATCTTATTTGTTATATTTTGTTCACTGTTATATTTTCTTATCTCTTACATTTTGTATAAGCTCTTGTTGTCGATTTTCGCTCGCAAAGAGTGAGAATTTTGAATCACTTCAGAGAAAATCCCTTTATGGTAGCTGCTACGTCTTTCTTTGTCTGTATCTCTTTTTTTATTTATATCGTACTGTGCATTATGCTATGAAGAAATGGTCAAACGACATTTAATTAATTTGCTTTGGGTACTGGTAAATTATTGGTTACTATTGTTTCGCAAAGTAATAATGTCGCATCTCGTCTCTCAATGTATTTTAAAAAACGCGAAAATCACAGTGATGAGTATTATGCAGTAAGATGAATGAGTACATTATGCGTAGGATTATCAAAGAAGTTTTTTTTATTTCAAATTCATGAGATGGGATTAAGTATGTTGGTCGATTTCCATTTTTCATTGTAGTTAAAAATGAATACGACATCGGAAGATTCGGATTTTGACGAGGAAGCTCACACAAGGTTATTGAACACTATCAATAACTTGGGCAATAATGCTAAGAAAGGACCGTTAATTAGAAAGTGTCCGAAGAAGGTTCAGGTTAAAGAACTGGTTGATCTTATACGATCTACAAAGTTAGTTTTTCAAGCTGATTTACTTTATTTTGCTATTACAATGCCTTGTCATGAAACTGGAATGGTATTTGTTTTGATCATAAAAACTGTTACTGAGGCTGGGCATAAATTGCTTATTTCAAACTTTAATTCAGATAAATTTCTTGAATCATTTTTTATTAAACTATGGCCTCAGAAATGTTGATGATGTGAAGAAGAAACTGATCAAGAGGAAAAAGAAGCAAGGAAAGGCAGCTGAAAAAGATGAACCGAAAACTTTGCAAGCTCCATCTCATAGATTGCTTCGGGAGAGAATTGAAAGTTCCATTGCATACAGTGATATCCGGTATTATTTTTACTTATATTACCGTAAATACAGTGAAATGTTTGGTGTTTAGCCTGAAACTAAAGTATTACAAACAAGATCTTGAATATTTCCGAAACTGATTTCATTTACTTCATTTGTTACTTCAAGTTAGAGATGACAATTTTAGTTAAGAACAAGAAGAATAATTAATGTATTTGAAGCATGGTTGCAGGAAGGATTTGGAGGAATGGGCTCCAATTGTGAAAAAGAATCGACTTGCTGAACAACTAGTATTTCCACTCACTGAAAGCCCGCCAGTCCACCGAATAGCGTCGGATTTGGTGCTCTTTTTCAAGGTGTGTCAATTTTTCATTCATTGTTTTGTCATATTGTGTTCTGGCGTAATAAAAAAAATAGCTGTATATATTATACTTTATTAAGAGTCCCAGTAATATCAGCGCAAGAGTATCAAGTTTGTGTAATACTCTTTCATGTATTGTAGAAGAGTTATAATCAACATAAGTTTCATTTATGAACATGACAATAATTTGTGCTTGCATTTGGAATTTAATTACAGCCAAGAACACCTATGGAAATAGAATTGGCCAAGCTATTGAAAACATCAAACAATAATCTTCGTGATGGCGAGGAATATACAGAAGCTGAGTTAGAATTAATAAGGGCAATGAGTTTGAAAAAGGTTGTTTTATTTCAGTTTTCGAGCCAATAGTAAGTGATCATTTGTAATTTGTTTAATTTTTTTTTCTTCCAGGCAAAAGCAAAGTGGATTCAGTTGAAGAAAATGCGAGCTTTAGTAGGTTATCGAGAAGCAAAACTAAAGCGACAAGCTAAAATAAAAAGCAAATCGTTAGTTCAGTTATAAATATTTGTACTCTCAATGCACGCAATCTCCTCCCGCACTGGAGTACTTTGTAGGTCGTTAATAATAGTCTTACTTCGAATTGTTAATATGTCACAAAAAAAAAAAACTAGTATTAAAAAAGTTTGTGACATGATTCGTTACAGGTATCATCGACATATGAAGCGTCAGAAGAGAAAGCAGATGATTAAAGAATTTGAAGAAATGATGATGAAGAATCCAGAAGCTGCAAAAGAGAAACTGGAAGAAATTGATCGACAGCGTATTCTGGTATCTTATTTACCTTAAGTCCTTATTTACCTTAAAACGATAACTCACAAACCGTGAATAGAGATGAAAATTCAAAGCAAATAAATGAAGAATGTTCAATGTTATAGGAACGAGCGACCTTAAAGCATCGCAACGGTGGGAAAGGTATCCAACAGTTGTCAAGATACGCGAATAAAAATAAAGATTTCAAAAAAATATACGAAGAGCAAATAAGATTGGGAAGAGAACTCGTTGAAAAACATGGTCGTGAGAAAGATTCGGACTCCAATTCTGAAGCAGAAAATACAAGTTCAATAAAATTGAATACCGTTAAAATGCTTGAGGTAAGACGTTCTTCTTAATATATCGAAGGTAAATGTGTTAAGAGACAACGAATAGATCTTTCGATTTTTTAAATTACAGAACGCAGCTGAAACATTGGAGAAAGAAGAACATCAAAAAAGTTCTATCAAGCCAGAGCTGAAGGCAAAGCTTCACGAAATGAGAGAACGAGAACGGGAGACTCTCAGGAAAAGCGCATTGCGGGCTACTGATACTAATTTCATATCTCACCGAAAACATGAATTAGTATGTCATTAGTTTAGAATTTATTTTTATATATTTGTAACGATGAAATATTCGAAATTAAATCCTCTTCATTCCTCCGAATATGCGTGTTTGAGAGTACCGATGCAGTCGATGAATCGAGAGTTTGCAATGAAAAAGCTGTAGAAATGGAGTGGAGTTCGAAAGAGGCGATAAGCAGTGAGGAACAATCGAACAAAGTGCAGCATCAACGAGGTATCTCAGAAAACTCTGGGCAAGATGATGCTGAAAAGAAAACTGATGAACACTCCAAAAAAGACTACAAAAAGTTGAAAAAGAAAAGTTCTAAGAAAATGAAGAACAAAGTGAGTTTATTTCGTTATTTTTATTCGTAGAAGTGCAATTAAAGATACACAATTTCGAATTTTCCAAAACTAAAACTTTTGATATGTATATCAAAGTATTTTTATTTAAAAAAGCTTTAAATATACTGATCAGAGGACAAAGAATTGTCACAATTTGGAGAAAGAAAGTAAAGATGTAAAGGATGTGGATATCGATCAATTGTTCGACAAAGCTGAGAAAGAGCTCACTGAATATGCCTTAAAGGTATGCTCATATAATTTCTTTCTTTAGATATATTGGATTTTTTCTCTAGTAAAAATGTTGGCCGAATTTTGTTCATTTTCAAGATTTCTCAGATATTTTTTAATAGTTTTTCTATTTTGATGCTATATGTGCTTGTTTATGAAAGTGCTATGCATAACTTTTTTGTTCACTGTAATCGGAATGAATTTTTCCACTTTTCTAGATTTTGTTAGTGCTTATTTCTTTAATTGATTGAAACTGCAGATGATAAGAATTTAGTAATGAACAACTGAGCATTAAATTTTTTAGAAATGCGAACTTTTGAAATTAGAAGAAAAAAATAAATGTAGTCGAAATCTTCTGCCATCTGACACCGAACCTACAGTGATCCCCAGACAAAGTAAGCTTCTCTTGATTATATTTATCCACAGATTGATTTTCAATGGAGCATTTGTTTACTGTGTTTGCAGAAGAAAAAGAAATTGCTGCAAAAACAGAGGAAGAAGTCACAGATATTTCTTTGGATCCAAGACATTTTCTACAAATCGAAACGATGGCACTGCCACAAGTCTCGGCCGACTTTGTTGAAATTTTGGAAGGTAGTCCTTTATTTTTGGTTGCTTTATCGATTTTATTAATTTTCAATGTTTAGTCGGTGAGAAGCATTAACAACTGTAAGAGTAATGGAGTGTATTAGGAGATCAAGCAAACACGAAACATTGTTTATAGAGCAAGCAGAGAATCAGGAAGAAATCATAGCCAAAGCGTTCGAAGATGTTGATGTTATTGGTGATTTCGAAGCTGATAAGGAAACTGTAGAAGCGGCAGAAAACCCAAAAGATACCGATCTAACGCTCCAAGGATGGGGTTCGTGGACTGGACCAGGAATAATTGATAGGAAAAAGAACAGGTGTGATCTTTGCAAATTTCTGGTAGATAATTAATGCTATTTCCATGCTATTTCATTTTTTCTCATCGCTCTTGTCTGTATTTTTTTCTCTCATTTCTTTCTATTAAAATTTTTCTCGTTCATTTCTCTTGTCAATACCACAGCAATTTATAAGATAGATAAAGCAAATTTTAGATTTGTAATTAAAGCTCCGAAAAAGAAAAGAAAAGATGCTGGAAAAACAGGTTTGATTATATCGGAAGCAGTGGATCCATCTATTGAAAAATTCCAATTGAAATCGGTAAGCGCATTTTTTTGATAGTTGAATTGTTTATAATTTCTAAGGAATGGTTTTTCAACTATAAAAGTAATTTGGGTTGACAGCTGTCAGTTGACTTTTCAACTGTATTTCTTTAATTTGGATTTTTGTATGTATTTCTTTAAGTTAAATACAATAATGATGAAAAATCTCACCGCTGGAGGAAAATTATGATGGCTAATGTTATGTGAATGGAAATTCAGAAATTTTTAACACATAACCTTGATTTACTAATCTTCTGGAAATAAATATAATCACAGAGAGCAGTGCAAATAATCCAACTTTAGAATTTGTGCGGATTTTTGCTCTTATACCGTTTAAGTACCATAGCGATTACGATCAGTGCTTAGTAGTACTAATTCTTTTCCATTTTCATATTAACGTAAAGTACGTCTGATTGATAGTAATGCAGTTATTGACTTTTGGTAATACTTAATTGAATGATAGTCTTTCAAGGTACCGTTTCCTTATACAACCGTTGAGGATTATGAAGCTGTAGTACGGCAGCCGTTAGGAAAGGAATGGAATCCACAACGAGTTCATATGAAGCTTATTCAGCCACAGATTATAGTAAAGGCACGTTTACTCACATTTCTTTTCCTGCTTTGCTTTTCAACGTATTGTGATGTTTTTTTTCAGGCAGGTAAAATAATCAAACCACTTGATAAGAGCGTACTGGAGGACGAATCTGATGAAGAGAAATAAATATTTTGTTATTATCAATAAATTTCTTTAAATAAATGCACAATATCACTATTTTTGCTTGCACTTTAATCTGATCAAGAAAAGTGACAGGAAAAGAAGAAGGTGATAAGATATAGATTTGTTGAGATTTTTCAGGAATAAGCATTTTTCTCGTTGCGCTTGACATTTTTAACATCATTCATCGTTTTTTTATTCATCGCCATTTATTACCAATTTTAATAATGATGACATTTCTTCACACATCACAGTGGCGATTACACTTTTCTTGCGATTCTCTCGCTTTTCTAGTAGCATCACAGAAGCAGATTAGGCAACTTTCAGAATATTTAATTTTAGCGCATCCACAGATTTTGAACAGTTGATAAGAGCGCATAGGTATTTACATGTTTTTTACATTTTTTTCTAAAAAAAAATGTATTTGTTAACATTAATGGCAATAACATGGATTGAGGAAGCAACAGTTTTGCAGTAAAGTTTAAATGTGAACGATAGAATGAATACCCAGTTTGATAGCTGATAAATTAATTTCTGAATTTATACATTTAAGAATAACAAGTAGTTTATTCATAATACAAAATATTGAAATGTATTAATCAAATGCCTTAATTTTCCCGCTAATTGTTATATTCAGATGATTTCCCTATTGTATGTGAAGGGATAATTCGAAATTGGAAAATGTAATAGGTAAAATTGAGAAAGAAGAGAATAATTTGGATAAAATGATGACGGTTTTAATGGATTTGTTTGATCAGCTTCCAGTTTTCACATTTTTAAATAGCCAGGAGAAAATTCGAATCAAATAGCACCATTACTATTTACGGTTGTTGCCATTTATAATTGCCACTAGCAAATAATAAAATTGATTGTTGTCTGAATTTGGTGAACCGTAACTGGTGGATAGCGGAGGACAGGAAATGGTACAATTGGTAGGGAGAGAGGCTAAAGTGCGGAATAATTTTGCATATGTTTAACAATCATTCGATAATAATGGCTGTATACCGATGAGTTGATCTCATTTTACTGTCAAACACATTCTCCATCTCAATGATATCATTATCTGTTATCATTCCCTACTACTTATCAACTTATTAACATCAATTATTTATCATTTACTTCATTAAAATTTACTTAATAACAATGAATACTTTCTCTAATTTGTTACTTTTTTTTAAAAAAATTTTATCAAGAAAAAGATGATACTCTATTTCTGTGTATGTATATATATTTCTCGACTTGTTTAAAAGTATCATTTTTGATTCCTTCTGAAATTAACCTTATCCTAATTCGATATTCAGATTATTGTTACATTTCCTTAATTAATCTCACAAACATTTAATACAGTACACATTCTTTCTTATTTTTTTTCTTGTTATCGAATAATAATTGATCAAGAATATTTGCCGAGTTATGACTCATTAATAAAGTATTGTTAGATTTTGAAACACTTGAAATTACTATCATTTGACAATTTGCATATTATTCCTTTGACATTTATCAATGTATTCATTTCAATTTAAAATAAAGATCCCCCTTTATTCATTCAAATCTAAATGATGAATTCCTTTTAATTGTGGAAATTTCTCTGTTACGTCAAGTTAAATGAGGGATAATTTTAGGATTACATAATTTTAACTAACACTAAAAAAACATTTTCATTTTCATGTACGAATTTTCAACTCTAACAAAGAGAAAGGAGAAGTTTTAAATTGGAATTTATTTGTTTTTTTTTTTCCCTTTCAAATATAGCATATCTCTATTTTCTCATTTCTCGCATATTTATAAAGCATTTTTAATTAACATATTGTTATTCGTGTCATCCTATGACTTCACCATTTTCAGCAAATTTATTTGCAAAGCATTTTTTTTTTAATTAACATTTTGGCATTATTAAGCTAAGCTTTACCTATCAAATATTAGAATACGGATGAACCGATTATCACTAATCATTGCTTCCGGCTAAAGCGTATTCCTATCCATATCGTCCCTGTAATCGTTGTACTCAAATATCCAAATGTTTTAAATAGCTCTGCAACAATTCCCAGCATCGATCAATTTATTTCACTTCCCCTTTCAGTAAAATGACTATTTTCCCACGACAAATACGCCCATTAACTGCTTCCCTCGCGACTGTCACCATCCATCCCCATCCATGGGAATTTGCACCTGTCACCTTCTCTTCAATTTTTCTCGCTTCTAATCATTACAAAGAGGAATAATTTGATGATAAATAACAGAATGAGATATCAGGAAATTGTCCAAAAAAGATTATACTTTCAATTATCGTTCACGTGAAATCTAACGTCTTTGATATGAATTCATCAAAGCGTTTTATTATGTGATGCGGTGAATGACGTGTACGAAATATCCCGAAAGTACCACCATCTCGATCATTTCAATGATGATAGTTTTTGTTATTACAATGGCAGACAAGAGAGAGAGAGAGGGAGAAAAAAAAAACATATTTTAACATTTATTATGATGAATGTTACAAATATCTTTTTTCACGTAACGCATGTTACTTAACGTAATTATTCATTTTATCTGACGCGATACATTTAATCGAATAGCATTGACATCATTAGCAGATTTCGTTAAATTAATAAAATTCGAATACAATTTTTTTTTTTTTGAAACCTTTACTCGCTCATTTTGTTTAAATTAATGAGAAAACAAAAAAAAAAAGAAGGAGAAATGTATGACTCAGTTAATTTATCTTAAAGTTATTTATCAGAACAAATTAATGCAGCGTTGTGCATATGTTTAAAATTCATCAGCAATAAATAATTCAAAATACGATATGTGTAATCAAAAGAGGCGTTTTATAATAAATTGAAATGTTTAGAAATTAAATACATATAGGCGATGGATCATTTATTTGCATCACAAATTTAACGCCCAAAGTGATATTCCCGTGGGAGGAAACTGTCTTGTTTATTATATCTCTCAACCACGTTTCTCTTCTGCTTTCATGCTTACCAGACAGATTGCATAATCAATTAATTTTTCACTTTTCGTTTCGAAAATAGCATCAAATACGGATATCACATTTCTTTCCACTCACGTAATTTTTTTTTTCGATTAAAAAATAAGACAAATTGAATGACACAAAAAACATGTATAAAACATAAGCAATTACATTTATGTTTTAATGAAAAAAAAAATATCTGTATTAAATGAATGACTTGAAATTAAATTATATAATTTATTATATTTAAAAATAAAAACCGTTAGTAGTTCATAATTTCTGAATATAAAAACTACTAATAATACGCCATTTACGTGGTACAGTGCATTGTAAGCGCTATACTGAATCATTCATTTAAATGTTAATTTTGTCATCATTTTAATAATTAGTGGACAAATAATTCCTACTGATGATAATATCATATTCTCACTTTCCCTCATTTCATTATATTTCATTGTAAATATCTCGATCTCATAAAGCCTTTCTTAGCATTTGCTTAACCCAAAATTTCATCTTTCTCCCTTTTTTTTTGCTAAAAATGCCAAAATGCCAATATTATCGAAGGAGTAATTTTTCATTTCTGGCAAATTGTCTGGTTTAACCAATTTGATTGGAAATTATATGAGTTTAAATGGTTATAATATGATTTTTATTTTGTTAGTTATTTAGCTGACCTTTATCCTTTAACGTTCCATCCATCTATTGATTAATTTTGTTCATTTCATAAATTCCCTTTGCATAAAACTTGACATTTTCCACGGAGATATTATTTGAATTGGAATGAAGAATTTGAAAAATGAGGAGAGGAGGAGGACGAAGAAACCATCTTTGATAATTTATATTTTAATCATAATAAAATAATTAATTAATGAACTGGCTAATAACAGAACATAGTGGTGTTCGTTTCTTTTTTTGCTAATATCATAGCATATTATAGGATAATTTTTTTTCAATAATTCTTACAATCATCCCCCTGTAATACAGCAATGAATAATTCCTGTAATCAGTTATCGATACGAAACTATTAATTCTTATAGGATAAATTTTGATAAAATTTTTTTCACAATATATGTAATTTGTCGTATTCAATTCATTACGAATCGCTAAACATACGAAAGTGAATTTCAAAATGTAAATTGCTTTGAAGTGATGATGGTTAGGATATATCAGCAATAGCAGCAGCAATGACTTAAACGATTTTCCGGAGTGCTTCAATCCATTCCATACTCTTTTGTCCGCTTTTTTTTTCACTCACTTCCTTGGCTCTTCTTATAGGATGCAGTTTTATTGGCTAGTTTAGACTTATAGTAGTAGGCCTCTGTTGAGTTTAGCCTAGCTCCTCCTTCCTCTTTTCCATTCTCTCTAATTACATTCATAGGCACACAAAACTGAATTGGAACTCAATTTTATACGAAACACTCCTTCCTATCATTCCAATCTTCTCTATCATTTTGTAACGTTTCCATAGGTACATCAATAAAAATACATTTACATATCCGATCATCTCTCTTCTCTTCACAACACCAAATCAATTCATCATTTCCTTTTTCCATTTATTTGATTACTGTACATTTTTTTTTCTGCCTGCTTGATTGCATTTTAGCATAAGCTATGGAATCGGGAAGTGATCGATTGATATGTAATTGTTTTTAACCGAATTTGCACATTGCTTAAGTTAACTTGAAAAAAAAAAAACAACTGTTGAAGAAATTTGCAATTAATTTCCAAGCTTTCGAAATATTTCGTAGCAGAAAGCTAAAATTTAAAAATTTTAGAAAAATAAAAAACTGATGGAAAAAAATGATGTGGATAAAAAAAGTGTGCAGAAGTTAAGCAACGATAAACAAAATTATCTATCAGCATAATAAATAAATATATATATATATTACAAAAGATATATCACCATTTATTGACATACCTTATCATGTATTGATATACCCTTGACAATTCACATTTTTTACTCTCTTATAAACTTGTATTGATTATTTTAATTTTATTTAACATTAAACAATTTCTTTTAAAATTTCTTTCCTAA